TCACTTGATTCTCAGCTTGGTTAATAACTGGGATGATTTTGGAGGTAAAAAACAATATGTTCAGTGGGCAAGGATCATGGAGGACAATACTTGAATAGTGATGATGAGTTCTTTACTAACGTTCTAGTTAAAGGATATATAAGAATCATTTGAAGGTATATATATATATATATATATATATATATATATATATATATATATATATATATATATATATATGTTTGGGAAACATTGTTTCCATTATATCACAAAAATTTTCTACAACAGCTGTATTGCATTTTGTTAGAAAATTTGAACATGTTGCAAATACTGTTTTGCTACAGACCATTCTTACGAGACGCAACTCAATCACCGGGGTTGACTACAAGGATGATTCCACCATCTTTGCATGGGAGCTAATGAACGAACCCCGCTGCCAGTCTGATCTATCAGGGAAATTTCTACAGGTTCTTGTTTTCTCTGTTTACTCACGGTTAAGTTTTCATATGAGAAAATGCCCGAATCAATTATCTAGAAAGAAGAAAATCTTTTACTTTCAAATGATAGGAGTACATAGAGGAAACTGGTTTTTTATGAAACTATATGGTGCATAACCTATAACCATCTGTATCTCTTCTTTGTGCAGGAATGGATAGTAGAAATGGCAGCTGAAATAAAGTCCATTGATAAGAACCATCTTCTCGAAATCGGACTTGAAGGGTTTTATGGGGAATCAATGCCTGAAAAGAAGCAAAAACAATCCGGGCTATGAAGTAGGACCGACTTCATTACAAACAACGGCGTAAGCAATGTGGATTTTGCTACAATCCATCTGTATCCCGACCAATGGTATGATCGAGTCTTTACCGACATATAAACTCCATCACAATGCTTTGTTCGTATATATACTTTGCATGTCACGCTAGCCAACATCCGAACGTAGTTAGCATCCTAAAAATGTTTCATGAAACGCATGTTTCTTATTTATAACTAAAACAATTTTATGTTATTTAATTTTATTGAATAACATATGTGGATATTTTGATTTTTGACTTAGGGTTCCGGGAGCTAGCGATGAAGCTCGAGCTAAATTTGTTGAAAAATGGATTAATGCACATATGAGGATTGTGATTCCATCTTGAGAAAACCTTTACTAATTGCAGAATTTGGCAAGTCCTCTTGGTCTTCAGGTTACACCGTAGAAGCAAGGGATGAGTACTTTGGTGGGATATTCAACACGGCCTATGAAAGTGCAAGAAACCGGGGGTCGTGTTCGGGTACAACTTTTGGCAAGTCATGGCAGAAGGAATGGATAACTGGGGTGACGGATACCAAGTTGTCTTGGACCAAAACCCCTCCACTGCTGCAATAATTGCCAAACAGTCTCAAAGAATTTCATCACTCAACTCTTCAACCAACCTAGAGTTCTCTCCCGTTGCTGTTGAAAAATAATTATGTTGGGCTCCTAACAAATAACTATCCCTTTCGAGAAAAAATGATATTTCTCTCTGCCGCGTTACTTACCTTTAGAAAATGTGAAGTTTAAATAGTGATATGAAAATAAAGATAGAGCTAGCAACCATTTTGCATGAAACAAAATAGTGCACCTATTAATAATGTTGTATTGTGGGTAACTTCAACTCAGTATTGTCGAACGAAGTGGGAAAATTGATGCATTTCCCTTTTATCAATAAATATGGTAAAATATGTAAGGTATTTTTGTGTGTTATCTTAGCTTTTGTCTGTCTTTTCTTAATGTTATAAATACTTTGTTTATCAAACACACAGTCACGTCAACATATGTGAATCCTTTTATATGTATTCAAACCACGTTTTGATCGCAAATCATCGACAAGAGGAATATTAATATTTGTTGATAAGGGATATAAGTCATGATATATCACCAAATATGAAGATTTTTGACCTAAATTTTTATTACACTTGTGCCTTTGGGAGTGGTGTTTACTTAAATGAACAAATACTTTCCCGAGTTTTATACCGAAAAGTCTCATTATTTTGGAATTTTTTTAATAAATTCATAAATCTTTTTTTGTGCAAAAAAGTCTCGTTATTTTGGGAAAATCACATAATCTATCTTTTCCAATAAAAAAACATTTTTCCTTATCTTTTCTACATGAGATGCATAGTTATCCTATCAATATTGCTTGACAAAGGATATAAGTCATGATATACCAATGAATATTATGCATTTAGATCTTGATTTTGAATTAAAATTACGTTTGTGGAGTTGTGATAATTAAACAAACCATTACTTAATACTGACCGAAATGTGTGTGTATGTGTATGTGTGTGAAAGACGGGGGAGGGGGTGTACAAAGCTATTGGATAACTTTTTCCAAGTGATGTTAACGCAGAAAAAAAAACATCTTGTTAATTGCCACTAAACCTATTTCAATATAATTTGTAGAATACTAATTCATGTTTTAAACAATATTACCTAAGTTTTAACAAACAAAAGAAGATCAATTCAAAACTATTTAAGTTATTTTTGACATCAAACTCCTAATAAATAAGATAAATGATTAAGTTACGTATGCTGATGAAGAAAATATAGTCTTGAGGAGTAATTAAGACATATATTGGTGTCTTGTCGCAAATGTTATATTTTGGAAATCTAAAATCCAATTTTTTTAAACAAATACATAAATCATTATTCATACACATATATTATGGTCTTGGCAGAAATGTTACTTTTATTGTAATCTGTAATATGAATATCTATGTTAGCAAACTCCGAATTGTGATGATGATTTTTCATGAAACCTTTCCAATTATGAGGTTGTTATCTTAATATAATAAGTAAAATCGTTGATTAATTCAACTGGGACTCGTAGAAGAACGAAACTCATTATTTCTCATTTGTCTACAAGATGGCATAATAGGGAACTCAAATTAATTGGAGTTCAAAAATTCCTACTTTATTTTCGTTGCAGGTTATATCAGCAGCTATAAATTTAAGGTTTAGTCGTACCTTTGAAATATCCTTTATCAATATTGGGAATAAATTTTGGTGCATTGTTAACCTTGGGCCCGCAAACGACTGTAAACTTATGTTTTAGTCATACCATTGAAATATACTTTATCAATATTGGGTAGACATTTTGGTGCAATATTTATCTTAGGCATGCAGTCTTAAACCTAACAATTGTATGTTTATTTTTATATTTTTAATTTTCATAATTTTCTTTATAAATAAGATTAATATCAATTAAATTAATAAAAATAAGGTGAGGTTCATTTTTATAAACATCTAGCATTTATCACCAATGATTTATATAGGTGATGTGTACAAGTGTAGTATGAATAAACTTTATTAAGGAGTAATCATACACTACTTAGTATCGATGCACGGACACATAAAAGATGATAAGGGAGTGTTTCCTCACTAGTCTTCTAAAAGTATTGGTTTAAGATCTATCAAATTTCCTTCTAAGCAGTTACATTGCCTATTATGGTTGGTTTTGGAACCCCAAACATCCGTTGTTTTATTATAATAGAGAACACCTCGTACACAAGCAAAGCGAGTTATGCTTAGATTACAATACATCCACTTGCTACATGCCATGCTACTCAACCACTGTTATTACATTAAGTACATAAAAACAAAACATGACATCATCAATATAAATTCACATGCAAAAGTGTTGTGTGCAACATACATAACATCTACTTTGATACAAATTCCATTTGGAGAATACACGTGATAAAAACTATCAACAAGAAAATGGAACATAAAATTTAATATATATTTGCTATATATGACGTTAAAAGAAGTCAAATAAAGAAATCAAATGTCCCATGAATGGCGATGCGTAAACGTAAGAAAGTCACATGCTAGATTTCAACGTATGAAAAAACGAACCCGGAAAAACAACAAAATGGTGTGGAGGAGTGGAGAAATAAATAAATAAATAAACCAAATTGTACATAGTTTTTCGTGAACAATCAATGACTCGGGCTTTTATTTTGGGCTTTTTGTTTTTTATTTTTCTCTAATGTATGGAGTTACAAAATATTATAGTATTTCAAAAATCTAGTACCATCTTTGAATCTCTAAATACAATTCTTTTGGTCAACATATTTTTTATGTTTGGAACCGGACTAAAAGCTAATCTTTTAATGGTAGATTATGCACAAGGATCTAGTATCCAAACATAACATACCTACAATAGTATTTGAAAAGGCAATATCATATTTTCTTTTGCTTTTCCATTTGGAGTAACAAATGTTTGTGTGTCTTGCAACCAAAAGTATGGCACCGTGCATGGGCATCGCAAAGTCGCTTGTCATTCCTTATGAATGATGATGCATATGTATCGTTAAGTTACATAATAAATATGATGAGGTCCCCACTTCCAACTAGATTCTTAACAGACATGCGATAAATACTCCACGACCTAAGTGGACAAGAGAAAACACACTACTTTCCATCCATTACTCTAAATATTGGTTACTAACTTTCCTATTTCATATATCCACTATTAAAGATTAGCGATTTTTTAACCATGCCAGGAAAAGGAAATGCAGTTCTAAAAGGAGATTGCAAGGGTAAATGCCACCCGTCAACCATTAACGATAGTTTTGTGGAGACAAGGACACGTCATTTCAAGGTTAATGGAAAGCCGTTGTATTTTAATGGCTTTAACGCCTACTGGTTAATGTGTATGGCTTCTGATCCATCTACAAGGGTGAAGGTCACAGATGCATTTCAAGAATCTTCCAAGATAGGAATGAACCTGGTTAGGACTTGGGCTTTTAGTGATGGTGGCAACAAACCCCTGCAAACCTCTCCCGGTTTTTACAATGAGGACATGTTTAAGGTAACTTTATTGATTATTTTAGTCTCTATTTTTTATTCAAGATGATCTGTAAACATTAAAAAGTAATTTCTTATCAACCATACGACAAATCCACACGGACGTATTGAAATAAAATTTAGTAATAATCAATATCACAAACACTTAACACCTCTGTTTTATGTTACTTGTGATAACCATCTACACCTTTTCATTCCAGGGATTGGATTTTGTGATATCAGAAGCGAAAAAGTACGGGATTCACTTGATTCTCAGCTTGGTTAATAACTGGGATGATTTTGGAGGTAAAAAACAATATGTTCAGTGGGCAAGGGATCATGGAGGACAATACTTGAATAGTGATGATGAGTTCTTTACTAACGTTCTAGTTAAAGGATATTATAAGAATCATTTGAAGGTATATATATATATATATATATATATATATATATATATATATATATATATATATATATATATATATATATATATATATATGTTTGGGAAACATTGTTTCCATTATATCACAAAAATTTTCTACAACAGCTGTATTTGCATTTTGTTAGAAAATTTGAACATGTTGCAAATACTGTTTTGCTACAGACCATTCTTACGAGACGCAACTCAATCACCGGGGTTGACTACAAGGATGATTCCACCATCTTTGCATGGGAGCTAATGAACGAACCCCGCTGCCAGTCTGATCTATCAGGGAAATTTCTACAGGTTCTTGTTTTCTCTGTTTACTCACGGTTAAGTTGCTCATATGAGAAAATGCCCGAATCAATTATCTAGAAAGAAGAAAATCTTTTACTTTCAAATGATAGGAGTACATAGAGGAAACTGGTTTTTATGAAACTATATGGTGCATAACCTATAACCATCTGTATCTCTTCTTTGTGCAGGAATGGATAGTAGAAATGGCAGCTGAAATAAAGTCCATTGATAAGAACCATCTTCTCGAAATCGGACTTGAAGGGTTTTATGGGGAATCAATGCCTGAAAAGAAGCAAAACAATCCGGGCTATGAAGTAGGACCGACTTCATTACAAACAACGGCGTAGCAATGTGGATTTTGCTACAATCCATCTGTATCCCGACCAATGGTATGATCGAGTCTTTACCGACATATAAACTCCATCACAATGCTTTGTTCGTATATATACTTTGCATGTCACGCTAGCCAACATCCGAACGTAGTTAGCATCCTAAAAATGTTTCATGAAACGCATGTTTCTTATTTATAACTAAAACAATCTTTTATGTTATTTAATTTTATTGAATAACATATGTGGATATTTTGATTTTTGACTTAGGGTTCCGGGAGCTAGCGATGAAGCTCGAGCTAAATTTGTTGAAAAATGGATTAATGCACATATAGAGGATTGTGATTCCATCTTGAGAAAACCTTTACTAATTGCAGAATTTGGCAAGTCCTCTTGGTCTTCAGGTTACACCGTAGAAGCAAGGGATGAGTACTTTGGTGGGATATTCAACACGGCCTATGAAAGTGCAAGAAACCGGGGGTCGTGTTCGGGTACAACTTTTTGGCAAGTCATGGCAGAAGGAATGGATAACTGGGGTGACGGATACCAAGTTGTCTTGGACCAAAACCCCTCCACTGCTGCAATAATTGCCAAACAGTCTCAAAGAATTTCATCACTCAACTCTTCAACCAACCTAGAGTTCTCTCCCGTTGCTGTTGAAAAATAATTATGTTGGGCTCCTAACAAATAACTATCCCTTTCGAGAAAAAATGATATTTCTCTCTGCCGCGTTACTTACCTTTAGAAAATGTGAAGTTTAAATAGTGATATGAAAATAAAGATAGAGCTAGCAACCATTTTGCATGAAACAAAATAGTTGCACCCTATTAAAAATGTTGTATTGTGGATAACTTCAACTCAGTATTATTGTTGGACGAAGTGGGAAATTGATGCATTTCCTTTTTATCAATAAATATGGTAAAATATATAAGGTATTTTTATGTGTTATCTTAGCTTTTGTCTGTCTTTTCTTAATGTTATAAATACTTTGTTTATCAAACACACAGTCACGTCAACATATGTGAATCCTTTTATATGTATTCAAACCACGTTTTGATCGTAAATCATCGACGAGAGGAATATTAATATTAGTTGATAAGGGATATAAGTCATGATATATCACCAAATATGAAGATTTTTGACCTAAATTTTGTATTACACTTGTGCCTTTGGGAGTGGTGTTTACTTAAATGAACAAATACTTTCCCGAGTTTTATACCGAAAAGTCTCATTATTTTGGAATTTTTTTAATAAATTCATAAATCTTTTTTTGTGCAAAAAAGTCTCGTTATTTTGGGAAAATCACATAATCTATCTTTTCCAATAAAAAAAAACATTTTTCCTTAATTTGGGCAAAATGTTAAACAATCAGGTTTATTCTATTCAAAAAAAAAGATTTAGGACTTTATCAAAAAAATCTCAAAAAGTTTAGACTTTTCATCATGAAATGCATAGTTATCCTATCAATATTGCTTGACAACGGATATAAGTCATGATATACCAATGAATATTATGCCTTTAGATCTTGATTTTGAATTAAAATTACGTTTGTGGGAGTTGTGATAATTAAACAAACCATTACTTAATACTGACCGAAATGTGTGTGTATGTGTATGTATGTGAAAGACGGGGGAGGGGGTGTACAAAGCTATTGGATAACTTTTTCCAAGTGATGTTAACACACGAAAAAAAACATCTTGTTAATATGCCACTAAACCTATTTCAATATAATTTGTAGAATACTAATTCATGTTTTAAACAATATTACCTAAGTTTTAACAAACAAAAGAAGATCAGTTCAAAACTATTTAAGTTATTTTTGACATCAAACTCCTAATAAATAAGATAAATGATTAAGTTACGTATGCTGATGAAGAAAATATAGTCTTGAGGAGTAATTAAGACATATATTGGTGTCTTGGCGCAAATGTTATTTTTTGGAAATCTAAAATCCAATTTTTTTAAACAAATACATAAATCATTATTAATACACATATATTATGGTCTTGGCAGAAATGTTACTTTTATTGTAATCTGTAATATGAATATCTATGTTAGCAAACTCCGAATTGTGATGATGATTTTTCATGAAACCTTTCCAATTATGAGGTTGTTATCTTAATATAATAAGTAAAATCGTTGATTAATTCAACTGGCGCTCGTAGAAGAACGAAACTCATTATTTCTCATTTGTCTACAAGATGGTATAATAAGGAACTCAAATTAATTGGAGTTCAAAAATTCCTACTTTATTTTCGGTTGGAGGGTTATATCAGCAGCTATAAATTAAAGGTTTAGTCGTACCTTTGAAATATCCTTTATCAATATTGTGAATAAATTTTGGTGCATTGTTAACCTTGGCACCGCAAACGACTGTAAACTTATGTTTTAGTCATACCATTGAAATATACTTTATCAATATTGGGTAGACATTTTGGTGCAATGTTTATCTAAGACATGCAGTCTTAAACCTAACAATTGTATGTTTATTTTTATATTTTTAATTTTCATAATTTTCTTTATAAATAAGATTAATATCAATTAAATTAATAAAAATAAGGTGAGGTTCATTTTTATAAACATCTAGCATTTATCACAAATGATTTATAATATAGGTGATGTGTACAAGTGTAGTATGAATAAAATTTATTAATGAGTAATCATACACTACTTAGTATCGATGCACGGACACATAAAAGATGATAAGGGAGTGTTTCCTCACTAGTCTTCTAAAAGTATTGGTTTAAAATCTATCAAATTTCCTTCTAAGCAGTTACATTGACTATTATGGTTGGTTTTGGAACCCCAAACATCTGTTGTTTTATTATAATAGACAAACACCTCGTACACAAGCAAAGCGAGTTATTCTTAGATTACAATACATCCACTTGCTACATGCCATGCTACTCAACCACTTGTTATTACATTATGTACATAAAAACTAAACATGACATCATCAATATAAATTCACATGCAAAAGTGTTGTGTGCAACATACATAACATCTACTTTGATACAAATTCCATTTGGAGAATACATGTGATAAAAACTATCAACAAGAAAATGGAACATAAAATTTAATATATATTTGCTATATATGACGTTAAAAGAAGACAAATAAAGAAATCAAATGTCCCATGAATGGTGATGCGTAAACGTAAGAAAGTCACATGCTAGATTTCAACGTATGAAAAAACGAACCCGGAAAAACAACTAAATGGTGTGGAGGAGTGGAGAAATAAATAAATAAGTAAACCAAATTGTTCATAGTTTTTCGGGAACAAGCAATGACTTGGGCTTTAATTTTGGGCTTTTTGTTTTTTTATTTTTCTCTAATGTATGGAGTTACAAAATATTATAGTATTTCAAAAGAATCTTGTACCATCTTTGAATCTCTAAATACAATTCTTTTGGTCAACATATTTTTTATGTTTCGAACCGGACAAAAAGCTAATCTTTTAATGGTAGATTATGCACAAGGATCTAGTATCCAAACATAACATACCTCCAAGGTTTTTACAATGAGGACATGTTTAAGGTAACTTTATTGATTATTTTAGTCTCTATTTTTTATTCAAGATGATCTGTAAACATTAAAAAGTAATTTCTTATCAACCATACGACAAATCCACACGGACGTATTGAAATAAAATTTAGTAATAATCAATATCACAAACACTTAACACCTCTGTTTTATGTTACTTGTGATAACCATCTACACCTTTTCATTCCAGGGATTGGATTTTGTGATATCAGAAGCGAAAAAGTACGGGATTCACTTGATTCTCAGCTTGGTTAATAACTGGGATGATTTTGGAGGTAAAAAACAATATGTTCAGTGGGCAAGGGATCATGGAGGACAATACTTGAATAGTGATGATGAGTTCTTTACTAACGTTCTAGTTAAAGGATATTATAAGAATCATTTGAAGGTATATATATATATATATATATATATATATATATATATATATATATATATATATATATATATGTTTGGAAACATTGTTTCCATTATATCACAAAAATTTTCTACAACAGCTGTATTTGCATTTTGTTAGAAAATTTGAACATGTTGCAAATACTGTTTTGCTACAGACCATTCTTACGAGACGCAACTCAATCACCGGGGTTGACTACAAGGATGATTCCACCATCTTTGCATGGGAGCTAATGAACGAACCCCGCTGCCAGTCTGATCTATCAGGGAAATTTCTACAGGTTCTTGTTTTCTCTGTTTACTCACGGTTAAGTTGTTCATATGAGAAAATGCCCGAATCAATTATCTAGAAAGAAGAAAATCTTTTACTTTCAAATGATAGGAGTACATAGAGGAAACTGGTTTTTTATGAAACTATATGGTGCATAACCTATAACCATCTGTATCTCTTCTTTGTGCAGGAATGGATAGTAGAAATGGCAGCTGAAATAAAGTCCATTGATAAGAACCATCTTCTCGAAATCGGACTTGAAGGGTTTTATGGGGAATCAATGCCTGAAAAGAAGCAAAACAATCCGGGCTATGAAGTAGGGACCGACTTCATTACAAACAACGGCGTGAGCAATGTGGATTTTGCTACAATCCATCTGTATCCCGACCAATGGTATGATCGAGTCTTTACCGACATATAAACTCCATCACAATGCTTTTGTTCGTATATATACTTTGCATGTCACGCTAGCCAACATCCGAACGTAGTTAGCATCCTAAAAATGTTTCATGAAACGCATGTTTCTTATTTATAACTAAAACAATCTTTTATGTTATTTAATTTTATTGAATAACATATGTGGATATTTTGATTTTTGACTTAGGGTTCCGGGAGCTAGCGATGAAGCTCGAGCTAAATTTGTTGAAAAATGGATTAATGCACATATTGAGGATTGTGATTCCATCTTGAGAAAACCTTTACTGATTGCAGAATTTGGCAAGTCCTCTTGGTCTTCAGGTTACACCGTAGAAGCAAGGGATGAGTACTTTGGTGGGATATTCAACACGGCCTATGAAAGTGCAAGAAACCGGGGGTCGTGTTCGGGTACAACTTTTTGGCAAGTCATGGCAGAAGGAATGGATAACTGGGGTGACGGATACCAAGTTGTCTTGGACCAAAACCCCTCCACTGCTGCAATAATTGCCAAACAGTCTCAAAGAATTTCATCACTCAACTCTTCAACCAACCTAGAGTTCTCTCCCGTTGCTGTTGAAAAATAATTATGTTGGGCTCCTAACAAATAACTATCCCTTTCGAGAAAAAATGATATTTCTCTCTGCCGCGTTACTTACCTTTAGAAAATGTGAAGTTTAAATAGTGATATGAAAATAAAGATAGAGCTAGCAACCATTTTGCATGAAACAAAATAGTTGCAGCCTATTAATAATGTTGTATTGTGGGTAACTTCAACTCAGTATTGTCGAACGAAGTGGGAAAATTGATGCATTTCCTTTTTATCAATAAATATGGTAAAATATATAAGGTATTTTTATGTGTTATCTTAGCTTTTGTCTGTCTTTTCTTAATGTTATAAATACTTTGTTTATCAAACACACAGTCACGTCAACATATGTGAATCCTTTTATATGTATTCAAACCACGTTTTGATCGCAAATCATCGACGAGAGGAATATTAATATTAGTTGACGAGAGGAATATTAATATTAGTTGATAAGGGATATAAGTCATGATATATCACCAAATATGAAGATTTTTGACCTAAATTTTTTATTACACTTGTGCCTTTGGGAGTGGTGTTTACTTAAATGAACAAATACTTTCCCGAGTTTTATACCGAAAAGTCTCATTATTTTGGAATTTTTTTAATAAATTCATAAATCTTTTTTTGTGCAAAAAAGTCTCGTTATTTTGGGAAAATCACATAATCTATCTTTTCCAATAAAAAAAACATTTTTCCTTAATTTGGGCAAAATGTTAAACAATCAGGTTTATTCTATTCAAAAAAAAAAAGATTTAGGACTTTATCAAAAAAATTTCAAAATAATTAGACTTTTCTTCATGAAATGCATAGTTATCCTATCAATATTGCTTGACAAAGGATATAAGTCATGATATACCAATGAATATTATGCCTTTAGATCTTGATTTTGAATTAAAATTACGTTTGTGGGAGTTGGGATAATTAAACAAACCATTACTTAATTCTGACCGAAATGTGTGTGTATGTGTATGTGTGTGAAAGACGGGGGAGGGGGTGTACAAAGCTATTGGATAACTTTTTCCAAGTGATGTTAACACACGAAAAAAAAAAACATCTTGTGAATTTGCCACTAAACCTATTTCAATATAATTTGTAGAATACTAATTCATGTTTTAAACAATATTACCTAAGTTTTAACAAACAAAAGAAGATCAATTCAAAACTATTTAAGTTATTTTTGACATCAAACTCCTAATAAATAAGATAAATGATTAAGTTACGTATGCTGATGAAGAAAATATAGTCTTGAGGAGTAATTAAGACATATATTGGTGTCTTGGCGCAAATGTTATTTTTTGGAAATCTAAAATCCAATTTTTTTAAACAAATACATAAATCATTATTAATACACATATATTATGGTCTTGGCAGAAATGTTACTTTTATTGTAATCTGTAATATGAATATCTATGTTAGCAAACTCCGAATTGTGATGATGATTTTTCATGAAACCTTTCCAATTATGAGGTTGTTATCTTAATATAATAAGTAAAATCGTTGATTAATTCAACTGGGCTCGTAGAAGAAGGAAACTCATTATTTCTCATTTGTCTACAAGATGGTATAATAGGGAACTCAAATTAATTGGAGTTCAAAAATTCCTACTTTATTTTCGGTTGCAGGGTTATATCAGCAGCTATAAATTTAAGGTTTAGTCGTACCTTTGAAATATCCTTTATCAATATTGGGAATAAATTTTGGTGCATTGTTAACCTTGGGCCCGCAAACGACTGTAAACTTATGTTTTAGTCATACCATTGAAATATACTTTATCAATATTGGGTAGACATTTTGGTGCAATATTTATCTTAGGCATGCAGTCTTAAACCTAACAATTGTATGTTTATTTTTATATTTTTAATTTTCATAATTTTCTTTATAAATAAGATTAATATCAATTAAATTAATAAAAATAAGGTGAGGTTCATTTTTATAAACATCTAGCATTTAGCACCAAAGATTTATAATATAGGTGATGTGTACAAGTGTAGTATGAATAAACTTTATTAATGAGTAATCATACACTACTTAGTATCGATGCACGGACACATAAAAGATGATAAGGGAGTGTTTCCTCACTAGTCTTCTAAAAGTATTGGTTTAAGATCTATCAAATTTCCTTCTAAGCAGTTACATTGCCTATTATGGTTGGTTTTGGAACCCCAAACATCCGTTGTTTTATTATAATAGAGAACACCTCGTACACAAGCAAAGCGAGTTATGCTTAGATTACAATACATCCACTTGCTACATGCCATGCTACTCAACCACCTGTTATTACATTAAGTACATAAAAACAAAACATGACATCATCAATATAAATTCACATGCAAAAGTGTTGTGTGCAACATACATAACATCTACTTTGATACAAATTCCATTTGGAGAATACACGTGAAAAAAACTATCAACAAGAAAATGGAACATAAAATTTAATATATATTTGCTATATATGACGTTAAAAGAAGTCAAATAAAGAAATCAAATGTCCCATGAATGGCGATGCGTAAACGTAAGAAAGTCACATGCTAGATTTCAACGTATGAAAAAACGAACCCGGAAAAACAACAAAATGGTGTGGAGGAGTGGAGAAATAAATAAATAAAGAAACCAAATTGTACATAATTTTTCGTGAACAATCAATGACTCGGGCTTTTATTTTGGGCTTTTTGTTTTTTTATTTTTCTCTAATGTATGGAGTTACAAAATATTATAGTATTTCAAAAGAATCTAGTACCATCTTTGAATCTCTAAATACAATTCTTTTGGTCAACATATTTTTTATGTTTGGAACCGGACTAAAAGCTAATCTTTTAATGGTAGATTATGCACAAGGATCTAGTATCCAAACATAACATACCTACAATAGTATTTGAAAAGGCAAGATCATATTTTCTTTTGCTTTTCCATTTGGAGTAACAAATGTTTGTGTGTCTTGCAACCAAAAGTATGGCACCGTGCATGGGCATCGCAAAGTCGCTTGTTATTCCTTATGAATGATGATGCATATGTATCGTTAAGTTACATAATAAATATGATGAGGTCCCCACTTCCAACTAGATTCTTAACAAGACATGCGATATAAATACTCCACGACCTAAGTGGACAAGAGAAAACACACTACTTTCCATCCATTACTCTAAATATTGGTTACTAACTTTCCTATTTCATATATCCACTATTAAAGATTAGCGATTTTTTAACCATGCCAGGAAAAGGAAATGCAGTTCTAAAAGGAGATTGCAAGGGTAAATGCCACCCGTCAACCATTAACGATAGTTTTGTGGAGACAAGGACACGTCATTTCAAGGTTAATGGAAAGCCGTTGTATTTTAATGGCTTTAACGCCTACTGGTTAATGTGTATGGCTTCTGATCCATCTACAAGGGTGAAGGTCACAGATGCATTTCAAGAATCTTCCAAGATAGGAATGAACCTGGTTAGGACTTGGGCTTTTAGTGATGGTGGCAACAAACCCCTGCAAACCTCTCCCGGTTTTTACAATGAGGACATGTTTAAGGTAACTTTATTGATTATTTTAGTCTCTATTTTTTATTCAAGATGATCTGTAAACATTAAAAAGTAATTTCTTATCAACCATACGACAAATCCACACGGACGTATTGAAATAAAATTTAGTAATAATCAATATCACAAACACTTAACACCTCTGTTTTATGTTACTTGTGATAACCATCTACACCTTTTCATTCCAGGGATTGGATTTTGTGATATCAGAAGCGAAAAAGTACGGGATTCACTTGATTCTCAGCTTGGTTAATAACTGGGATGATTTTGGAGGTAAAAAACAATATGTTCAGTGGGCAAGGGATCATGGAGGACAATACTTGAATAGTGATGATGAGTTCTTTACTAACGTTCTAGTTAAAGGATATTATAAGAATCATTTGAAGGTATATATATATATATATATATATATATATATATGTTTGGGAAACATTGTTTCCATTATATCACAAAAATTTTCTACAACAGCTGTATTTGCATTTTGTTAGAAAATTTGAACATGTTGCAAATACTGTTTTGCTACAGACCATTCTTACGAGACGCAACTCAATCACCGGGGTTGACTACAAGGATGATTCCACCATCTTTGCATGGGAGCTAATGAACGAACCCCGCTGCCAGTCTGATCTATCAGGGAAATTTCTACAGGTTCTTGTTTTCTCTGTTTACTCACGGTTAAGTTGCTCATATGAGAAAATGCCCGAATCAATTATCTAGAAAGAAGAAAATCTTTTGCTTTCAAATGATAGGAGTACATAGAGGAAACTGGTTTTTTATGAAACTATATGGTGCATAACCTATAACCATCTGTATCTCTTCTTTGTGCAGGAATGGATAGTAGAAATGGCAGCTGAAATAAAGTCCATTGATAAGAACCATCTTCTCGAAATCGGACTTGAAGGGTTTTATGGGGAATCAATGCCTGAAAAGAAGCAAAACAATCCGGGCTATGAAGTAGGGACCGACTTCATTACAAACAACGGCGTCAGCAATGTGGATTTTGCTACAATCCATCTGTATCCCGACCAATGGTATGATCGAGTCTTTACCGACATATAAACTCCATCACAATGCTTTTGTTCGTATATATACTTTGCATGTCACGCTAGCCAACATCCGAACGTAGTTAGCATCCTAAAAATGTTTCATGAAACGCATGTTTCTTATTTATAACTAAAACAATCTTTTATGTTATTTAATTTTATTAAATAACATATGTGGATATTTTGATTTTTGACTTAGGGTTCCGGGAGCTAGCGATGAAGCTCGAGCTAAATTTGTTGAAAAATGGATTAATGCACATATAGAGGATTGTGATTCCATCTTGAGAAAACCTTTACTAATTGCAGAATTTGGCAAGTCCTCTTGGTCTTCAGGTTACACCGTAGAAGCAAGGGATGAGTACTTTGGTGGGATATTCAACACGGCCTATGAAAGTGCAAGAAACCGGGGGTCGTGTTCGGGTACAAC